ATTTTAAAATGCAGGATCAAAATCATACAATCTGACTGCTGCTACAACAAACATCTACACACCAGTGTCCAGAGTTGCACTGATTCACGGCGTCATCAAGCCGATGAAACTCACCTGCTCAGTTTGACCCTCCAGGATATAAAGCTGCTCCATGAGTTGACCTTCCTTCCATTTTCCAGATGGTTTTCATCGTCTTGTCTTCATTTTGAATTTTTTTCTTCCTCCTTCTTCATCTAAATCTACTGTTAGTCCTAAAATATCTGGATATAGTGAAAAAAAAGACATCTTGCAGCAAAAAACAATCATATATTGGTTTACAGGTAATTGCTCAATAATCCTTGAATATACTTCTTCCTGCACTGCAGTGTTCAGTCTGTTTCATCAATCTCTGCTTTAACCCACATTTCTCTTCCTTAAAATAAGTCTGCCCTCGTATTAATGTCTCAGACTCCAGAGACTCGTCTGCTGTAACTGTGCCAGGTGTTGTAATATTGTCCATCACTTTGCACTGATTCTCTGCAGGGTTTTACTCCAATAAGTGAAATTTATATATATAGAAATAAAAGTGTCTTGGAATGAACATAATGTCATGACTGTATATGAAGCAGTCAGCTGCACGTTACATGTAGGTTTTTATGAAATGTGGGGTTTTAAAACCATCCAGGAGCTTTGATTTGCTCTCAGGTTCCGAATTATTTGGATGTGGTTAACTTAATTTTGCTTTTGAACACCACAATGGATTTGAAATCAAGTCACGTCTACTTCTGTATTACTGATGGCTCAGTGGTGTTGATGAGCCTGTTCACTTGCAGCTTTTTTGGCAGCTTTCTTGCCACGTTTTGACTGCAGCAACTGTACTGCCGTTGCCTAATTTGTCTCTTCAGTTGCTCCGCTTTTCAGCTCTGGCGACCAAATCATTGCTGGTTCACTGTCAGTGCACCATCGTAGGAATGTCTCCGCAGAAACCAGTTTAAAACTCCAGTTTACTGTGAAATACAGAGACATTTATCTGGAGCTCACAGGGTTAATCAGCACGGTCATTTATATATTTAGGCCAAAAAAAAAACTACTTTCCACTTTCTGAAGACAAAACTGGAAGCAGAAAGATCTACACTGAAGCAGCAACTGAAGGCGGCTCCACTAAACTCCTGGCAAACTCTTAGTGCAATCACTGATTACTAAAAATAATCCTTAAATTTACTTTATGCTGCTTTGTTAATTTACTTTGTGCAAATGGAAGGAGTGTAGTTCCTGAATAGTTAATGTAATAATTTAGTTAAAACCTTTGAATTAAATGTGAATTTTTACACTTCTATCACATCTTCATTGCGTCATTTCAAATCAAATGCTGGCGCGCACACTGTAAAAAAAAAAAAAAGACGTATTCTCATTTAAATGCATAGTTGCACGATAAAAAATATCTCATCTTTACTGATTTAGATCAAGCTTTTAAGTTGCAAACATTACTTTTTATTATTATTACTATTGAATTTCCCTTCTGGGATAAATAAAGTATTTTTCATTTCATTTCATTTCATTACTTTTGTCGCTGTCCAAGTGCATCATTTTAATACTATAATTTAAACTCAGATTTCTGTATTAGTTGATTTTAAAACTAAAATTGACAAAATTGTATTTATTTTTTTTACTGTGGAACAACCTCTTTTTGTTAACTTGTTCATAATTCTCTTAATTAAATGCTTAAAAAAATCCTAATAAATAAATAATCTTTATGCTACTAATCATTAAGTGCCTTTTTAATACCAATACCTTTGACTGTAGATGAGAAACTAATTCCCTGTAACTCAATGAGGTTTGTTGGTTGAACATAATTTCATTGGAAGTTATTTCAAATTAAAAAGATTCTGTTTTTGTTGTTGTTGAGCCCAGATATAACTTTTTGGAGGCAAAATTGTGAAAATTGGGTCACTGACTGTACTTCACATCAAATATATTTTATGTACCTACATGATGGTCTAAATGTTGTTTTAAAGTTTCTTTCCACAATGCTAAGGTGTAATTCTGGTAAATAAATGAAAAATAGTGAGTCTAACAAAATAAAAAATGCCTTAAAACAGCCACAGTGTGTCATTTGTACCTGATACAAACCCTGATGCGTTTCAGGCAGCGGCGGTGTTGTGGATAAAATAAGTTGACTTGCACAAGATCCTCAAGTTTAAGTCAATTTCTTACATTTTTATTACTGTTGCACCATTTATACAAGTACATATAATTTTGAATGCATCAATTTTCCATATCATCTTTTTGTTTGTCTGAAATGAAACGTGTGGTGTGGAAGTAGCGGCGGCGAGACATGGGATGAAAATATCGACTGTAGTTGCCATGGATGCAGACTGAGAAATCATTATTATTTTTTATTTTTACTTTTTTTTTTTTGTTTCCACTTGACCAAAAAGACAGGACTACAGGTTCACCCAACCACGGACATGCAAGTTACTGAGTCAAGAGAGGAAGAAAAAACCAAAACCAGGCGACACACGACGCTCCTCGACTGTTTGTTTCTGCTACGGTTTGACAAGTGCTGGGAGGAAAACGCTGTGTGTCCCATGGACGGAACTGAAAATCTGGCAGATGGATGGCTGAGATGACCGAATATATACATGCATATACCTGCAGACATGCGCAGGTGGAAGGAAGACGGTTCATTCGAATGATCACTGTGCAGCTTTAGGTTGCTGGTATCATGGAACACATTTGAGTTTATTTGACAAATTAGTTTGCAAATTCAGATTTTCTAGTCACGATGAGGTACGATTTTAATGTCTAGTCCTTCTAACTTCCTACATTTTCCTTCCTTCTTTCTTTCAATGTCTTTTCCAGCTCACATAGGTCCTGCTTTAACTCTGGATGTTAAACTTTTTACAGCTTTTCTCTTTAAAAACATTTAAGCTATTGCTACTTAATCAAAGATGTATCAGAACTTTTTCCTTCCACTGCTGCGCACACGCACACATATATGCATGATGTATATTTCTGAAAAAAAGGAAAAGGAAAATGCATGAAAATGACCAAATCAGAGGCTCCCTTCCACGTGCAAGGCTTTTCCATCCCGTAACGATTGCGTGGCCTACGGTTGCCATAGAAACCATAGTGCATTGAGCTGGTTGGCTGAAATCCCCCCTAATGCTCTTCAAATGTATGAGGTTGATTTAAAATGCAGTAAAAGCCGACGCAGAGAAAACAGCAAATGATCTCATCTGAGGCCTTTTCACCTGTTTACATTCTACACTGGTGGCGTTTACAGTTCTTCTTCTTCTAGTCACGTTGTAAATACAGATTTTAAATGGATTTCTTGGCTGGAAAGTGTTTCATTTACTTTGTTTAGTCACATTTTTCGACGCTTTTCTGTTTTTGCGGTATGATTCCTCCATGTAACCACAGAAATCCACGACATCAACGCACATTTCCTCTTAGTTTAGCAGATTTTGCTGCCAGTAATTAACCAGAAAGTTGCACTTTTACTTCCAGTCTCTGTTTGCTTTTACTTGTATGATTCAAGTTTCCCTTCCAGCAACCCAAAAATAAAGTCAATCGCGGGATGTTTGAGTGTCAGTTTAGTCTATTTTCTTCACAAAGACACAACTAAGTGTTCGCTATCTGACCAATGTCGCCTTCTTGGTATCAAAACCAACCTCAGAACCTCAAACAACCTCCAAGACGCGACTGTTTGGCCCGTTTCACCAGCGTCAGCAGTAGATATGTCTGCTAAAACAAAAACCTCGTCATCTCTGCTGGAATTTGTCGAGGATCAGAGATTTGCACTGAACTTTCTGAAAACATTGTAAAGATCTTCTCAGCAAGGTTTTGCAGATTTTTATAAGTGTTACAAATGTTAAAAAACCACTTAGTTTACTTACAATATACCTAAGGGTTTCAGTACAAAATGTAGAAGTTTATCTGAAAAATTCCTACAACTGATTAGCACATCTAAGAACGTGTTTTTTTCTGCAAAGCCGGCCGTTGTCAACCTTTAAATGTCTTAGAAAGCCTGAACATTCTCGCTCCTCACGATGGATTTAAGCTCCCCCGTGAACGAGGGCAAAGTGGTCGCGACAAAACCCAACAAAATCGAAAAGCTAAAGGGAGGATGAGTTGAAATAAAACACAACCACGACTCCACGGCACCGAAGAACTGGAGGCCAAAAGCCGAGAACACGATACTCTGAAGAGGAGGATGAGCGGAGGGGAGCTGCAGTGGATGGATTCAGCTGGTAAAGAGATTCTCAGCCTCCCCTCCTTCCATCTGAACCATTTCCCAAACTGTGGACGTCCACAGAGCTGAACGCGTGAAGCTTCTGTGGGCTGAGATGGGAAACGGGTTGAACCTCTGAATGAGTGTGAAGGACGATGGAGGTGGAATGAAGAGGCCGACACAGACTCGTATCAAAGTTCAAATACTACAGCAGAAAAAAATAGAATAAAACATAACAATAATAATAGCAATAATCATCTGCAGCGGTGGGAAACTTCTCCAGGTGTTTGCTTCAGTCCTCCTCATCCAACAAATCAGCATCATTACAATTATTATTATTATTGTTATCATCAGAATATGGGTGGGCTAGTAAATTTCATTTCATTTTTTTAATCTTCATCCTTGTTGAGTTAGGTAATTTTATTTCTTCATTTCCGAAAAGAAGCTGTCCATTAATCTTGAACTGCTACGGTTTGATCCTTGCTTGGTGCCTCTGTGGCGTTTGCCTCCTTGGCGGGAGGTTCGGCGGCTGGTGTTGAACTAGCGGCGGCGGCTGCGGCGGCGGCCTCCTTCGGCGGTGCTGCTGCTGCTGCCTCTGTGGTCTTGGGCTCGGGGGAGGCAGCTGGAGCCGCCTCGGCTTTGGCTGCTGGCGCCGCGGGGGCCTCAGTCTTTTTGGCGTCGGCCTCACCTTTGCTCTCGGCTGCAGGGGCAGGTGCCGCCGCCGCCGCCTTCGCCTCGGGCTCCTTGGCGGCGGGGGCCGACTCTTTGGCCGGGGCGGCGGCTGGTTTCTCCTCGGCCTTGGCGGGCTCCGAGCTCTTGGGCGCCTCCGTTTTCGGCTCAGCGTTGGCGGCAGGTTTCTCCGCCTCCTTCGTGGCCGGAGCTGCGTTCTTCTCCTCGTCTTTGGCCGGCGCAGCGTCGGCCGCCGGCGCATCCTTTGCCGCCGTGTCGTTCGCTACCTCCTTGGCGTCGGTGGCAGCCGGAGCCTCATCCTTGTTGTCTTTCGGTGCTTCGCTCTCCTCAGCAGAGGCTCCCTCTGCTTTGGCGTCCTTGTCTTTGGCCTTGTCATCGTTTACGTTGTAGCCCTTCTTCTTTTTGCTGAGCTTGCCTCCCATTTTGGATCTCTGGCCTCTGAAACAAAGAAAACAGCAAACATTAGTATCATACAAACTGTCTGAGGAAGCAAACGTTGACCAAAGTCTTGAAACTGCTGATAGGATTCAACAAAACAGCACCACAAATGAAGGTGATGTGTCAGTAGGTGTTGACTCCTGTCTGCAGCTTCTCAGTGAACAGATTCTTCTGTTTGAGTGAACAAACACAAAATGTTGTGTCTGTTTCAGTTTCTGAGCTTTCAGACCAGATGCACAGGATGCTCTGTAGACATGCATGTATGATGAAACATCTCTCATGCTACATTTTTAATGCCGACTCTCAACCTGAACCACAGGCTCCCTACTGAGAACGTGATGTTTTCATCTCTCAAATGAGGAAAAGTCACGAGAGTCTGACGGCTACAGAGAAAGAATCAACATAAAGAGACTAGTTTGCTCGTATATTCCATCCTTCTTAACTGCAGAGACTCAGCATATCATATTTCTCACCTCTCATTATAAATGCTCTAAGTTCTTCAGCAGCTGAGATGCAACAGCAAATTAAACTATCGGTTACTGAGACAACATTTGTATCAAACCACCTTTAAGCTCCTCACAAGGCTGTACAACTGAGTTCACACCTTCCACAGATGGCAGCAATACACTGAAATATTTTAGAAACATCAACTTGTTCTTATTCTCAGGAAGTCAAATGTTTTTTGTTCAGTCCAAGACACCAGCGTTAATATCTGAATCCAGTAAAGGAGTTTGACCAGCTGTGTGACTCAAGTCTTGTGTTTACTTGTGGTAAATTTTGGCACCAAAACTGAATAATTTTTCCCTATTTTCATTTCAACGTTCATGCACATGGTAAAATTTGTGATTTCCTGCACTGTAAAAAAGACAAGTGTTGGATACCAAGATTAGACATTATCGCTGTTGTTCACAATCTGAAACAAGCCGACAGAACCAGAACTGAACTCTATCAGAGGAGAATCTAAAGACTGTCAAAGAAGCTATGAATGCTGCAAACTGTTCTATGAAACCATGAACACCAAAGTTGTTTCTACATATCACAGCCTGTAGACACATTCAGGAGAGCTAAACCAGGACTGTACTGGAAAATGGTTTTTCCACGGAGTGACTCATGTCTATTAGATGATCCTGGTATCTTCTGTAGGTAAAATAATCTTTTCATTGTCTAAAACTTGTTCTGACCAACCGCCATCACACATGCTGATATGAGACTTGAAAATTTACCCAGAATGCACTTTTTGAAGTTTTCTCTGGTGAATGATCAGAAAACAGAAACAGATCCAGGGTACCAATGATTGTTTCTATCACTCTGTGTGATAGACATTAAACTGCTGCAGTTTGACTGTTCAAACTATCATACACCAGGATTATATAAACCTGTACAGGCTCCAAACTGACTTTAAAACAAATTATTTAAAACCCCTGACCCTCCCCCCATCAAACAAGTGTCAAGCTGAATTATATAAAGTGCGTTCTTCATTTTGTTATATGCAAAAACCTAAAATTTGCTCCCCCCAAAATATTTAACTCAGATGTGTTTTTCCTCCTAAAATGTCATGTGTCTATCTGCTGTAATGATGAAGTTCTGAGGCTCAGAAATGATGGAAAAAGTCCAATGAAGTGATAAATGTGGACCCTCCTCTATGGACTTCAAGGACCTGGAAATATTCATAGTATGAAGGTAGAACTCTGCTTCATTAAATAAAGTTAGTGTAGATGAAGGATGAGCTGATTGTGAGGAGGTCCAGGTGGGAGGCTCTGATTGATTTTTAATACAATTGGCTCCAGACTCCTGCTGTCTACTTCTGACATTCACAGATTTTACGGGTCTTTAAAACAACCCCGCGCGCTGGAAATGACATTACAATGAACCAAATGAATGTGACACCGAGGGGTCCTGGTGAAGCGTCTCATGTGCCGGGTTAAAACTTCAACGGGGAAATTAAAAGACGAGGATGAAAGGGCAGATTTTTGTCGCTCTGTGCAACATAAATGTGATTTTTGGGAGTGAATCCTCTCAGTGCTGAGCTCAGTCGGTCTCACGAGGGGACACAAGGTCAGAGCGTTGATGTCAAATCTGAATTGTGAACCAAACCATCAAAAACACGTTATCTTTCTGAGCTCTGGAGGGTTCCAGCTTTGCTTAGTTTGCCTTTATTTGTCCAAGTTATAAAACCTGTGTCCCTGTAAACCTGTCTCATAAGAAATGATACTAAAACGCTGCCTCCTGGCTGTAATTAAGTTTCCTGCCAAATTAGCAGTAAAAAGTGCTCCTTTTTTTTGTGTTTTCCATCACTACAGTTTGTTTCCGAGATGTTGGCCTGAGATGAGTTTTGCTGGAGGCGCTAGAAAGATTCAACAGCAGCATCTGTTTTCAGAATCAAAGTCTCAGAACAAATAAAACCCATCGTATCTGCAGAGCGTTAATGCAGAAAAGCTCCACACACCTGCAGATTCCTGGCAAACTCTCAGCTCAGGGTTTTTTTTTTCACGCATTCCACCATCTGTCAGCTTCATGGGGGAGAAGATTCAACACGGCAGCAGATTATCAGGAAATAAGACTCAAGATCAGCGTCGGTTGTGTCACATATAAAGTCTGCATGTTGATGAGCGACTGACCTGCAACAAGTTTTAATTTGGACTCAGGAAACCTCTGAGAAAAATAAAATCAACAAAGACTAAAGCTCCATTTTCCTTCTTTGACATTATTACTGACAAAGAAACATCATTTAACTTCTGCATAAATCTTAGTTTTATGCACAAATATGTCACTTTGCTTTTTTAATCTTAGAAAACGTAATCAATCAACTTGAAAGTGACACTTAATTATGGGACACACGTGGAAAATCTCTTCTACATTAGACTCAGACATCAGTCCACCATGAAAACAAACATGGAAACATCTAAAAGTTTAAATGAATTCACACTAAAATGATCTCCAGTGTTGAAGCTTTTGGTTAAATGGTTTTACTAGATTTTAAAAACAGGTGAATCAAATCAGAAATGACTATATTTAAATATAATCAGTTCTATGTTGGGGTTTTCTACCTAAACATCTCTTCTGTTGCACAAATCACTGACAAAAAAACACATGAATACATTAAACTCATTCAGAAGTCAGTGCACTGGTTACTTATTAGTTAAAGAATTGATTTTTTTTTTTTTTAAATAGTAATTTTTTTCCCCTACTTTCACAATTTGTTGCCTGTATATAAAATTAGTATTTTACATACATTTTTTTGCTGATTTCCTTGCAACTTCTAATAAACGGCTTTAAAATGTGAAATATTCTACATAAATGAATGAACCTGCCTCATTCTGCATAAAGATTTCTGATATTTCCTGCAAACTAAAAACCAAAGAGGAGCACATGAAGGTAAGTCGTAATTTCTTAAATTCTAACTTGTACATTTGGTGAGAAAATGTTTGTTACAAATGCATCAATAACACTTAAAAAGGTTTTAGTTGCTTTCACAGTTTTCTACTTTTTGAGCTTTCTTCTAGTTATTGGTTAAATATGTGAACACAAACGAGGAATCGGACTGTTTTTGCGCTGAAAGCACGGACACTTAATAAAACATACGTGCATTTAGGTTGCAGAAAAACAGAGAACGAGTATTTAACTAGTGTGTGCAACTGTTGATTTGTGTTGTTTCTGAGCAAACAAAAGAAATCCTGATTCTCAAAGAAAACAAAGTTCTTACACTAGGAGACACATGCATGTTCCAACATCAGTCATGTAAACTCAAAAAGCTTTTATATTTCACTAAAACGATGCAACACGTGGTGACTCTGATGCACTAATTTCACCAAAGCTTCCTGCTCATGTTGGACACCTGTTGGCGCCGTGACCTTTTCCTCCCACTGACTCTGGTTCTGCAGCTTTACTCACAGGTTCTGCTGTGAATCCACTCAAAATGCTAATGGCCTCGTCTCCGCTCACTGAATTACTCCAGTATTCATGCACAGCTCCTGCGAGCGTCCGGCGGTCGGTATCTGCCTCAGCTGTATACGGGCCACAGTGGAGGTCTCTGTGCAGCATCACATCACCGCGCTGCCAGAACAATGACTCACAATCATCTGTGCAGACAAAGGCTGGCTGGCTGGCTGGCTGGCTGCTGGGCGGGTGGTTTCAGTGTTTGGAGAGTCGGGCAGGGCCGAGGCAACCTGGAGAAAAGGCCCCGAGTCGCACAAAGGACTTAATTTAACCTGCAAACTGCAGTCAGGGAGGCACAAAGGCGAGTGTGAGCCGCTACTTATAAACTTCCAGCCTCAGTGGAGAGAAGTTTAGCTGGAAAATACACGAAAAAATAAACAATCAGTAGAAAAACTGTGAAAATGTGGAAGCAAGGAAACCAGAAGAACTACTTCAACAAAACAGTGGAACCATGTAACATTGAAAAACTGGAAAAACTGTACAGATAACAGCAAATATCTATAAAATAATGATATTAGCTGATTTAGATACAGTGAAACAGCTTCATTTCTTCTTATTATTTTTTTAAGATAAAAAAATGGGAGATCATTTTCAAAAAATTTTTTTTTTCATATAATCTACATTATCTGTAGTTTTAACCTGTTTTTGTTCGTTCTTTTTGTTTTTACAGTCGACATGTAAATTAATTTAATTAAATTTTCTGAAATGAATTTATCTTAACAAAACAGGGAAAATATGTAAAACTATTTTAGCTTTTCAAAAATTATTTTTAAAATAATATACCATTTTTTTCAGTCTTATTTCCTTTTTTTTTTTTTTTTTATACAAATAAAAAAATAATGGTAAATATTTATGCAATAATGTTGTTGTTTTTCCCAGATTTAAATTCAGTAAAATGTTTTTTTTTTGTTATCATCACACAATATAAAACAATGAATTACTATTTATGAAAATATATATTTTTTGATGTAGATATTATTTACAGTTTTGACATGTTTTTGTTTGTGTTTTTCTTTCCAAAGCAACCTCTAAATAACCTTTAAAACAGAGGAATATTGTTCAAA